ATAAAAACCACCTATGTAGTCAGCTGGTCTCTGCCTTTCTGCGCCAACGTCCATCCTCAGACACTGTGGGCCCTGGTGCGCTCGCGTTCAGCTGCCATGGCAGCAGGGGAGGGGTGGGGTGGTAGGAGCAGTGGCAGCTCCACCAGCAGCGGCTGCCTCAGTCTGCAGTCGATGATGAGTAAGCTTTCTTCACCAGCGCAGTGAGGAAACTACTAACCAGCCGCAACGCAGCAGCAGCATCAGGTGGACCTGGAGCAGGACCTCAAACAACAGGCTTAGGCCTTCTTGGACAGCACCCTGCCAACCGAGGTAGACAATCCCCTTGACTACTGGGCAACGAAACTTGACCTTTGGCCCCAACTAGCTGAATTTGCCCTTGAAAGGCTGTCATGCCCGGCCAGTAGCGTGGCATCGGAGCGCGTGTTTAGTGCGGCAGGAGGTATTGTAACTCCGCGGAGGACACGACTGTCCACCCAAAGTGTGGAGAGACTCACGTTTGTGAAAATGAATCAGGCGTGGATTAGTCTGGATTTCAAACCACCAGTTCCTGACACAACTGACTAAATCCGCCATGAATCATGCCCCAAACATGTGCCACTTTCAGGTCTCCTCACACTGCTGGTGTGTTCCATTTTTTGTCATAGGGTGCTGGCAGATTACGGGCCTCCCATAGCTGCTGCCAGGCCCCTAATCTGCCATGGGCCCCTGTACCGCCTCCTCATGCTGCTGCCAGGTCCAGAGTCTCTCATGGGTCCCTGTACGGCCTCCCATTGCTGCTGTCTCCATCGCCACACTCTGCCATGTGCCACTTTCAGGTCTCCTCACACTGCTGGTGTGTTCCATTTTTTGACATAGGGTGCTGGCAGATTACGGGCCTCCCATAGCTGCTGCCAGGCCCCTAATCTGCCATGGGCCCCTGTACCGCCTCCTCATGCTGCTGCCAGGTCCACAGTGTCTCATGCCATGTGCCACTTTCAGGTCTCCTCACATTGCTGGTGTGTTCCATTTTTTTGTCATAGGGTGCTGGCAGATTACGGGCCTCCTATAGCTGCTGCCAGGCCCCAAATCTGCCATGGGCCCCTATACCGCCTCCTCATGCTGCTGCCAGGTCCAGAGTGTCTCATGGGTCCCTGTACGGCCTCCCATTGCTGCTGTCTCCATCGCCACACTCTGCAATGTGCCACTTTCAGGTCTCCTCACACTGCTGGTGTGTTCCATTTTTGTCATAGGGTGCTGGCAGATTACGGGCCTCCCATAGCTGCTGCCAGGCCCCTAATCTGCCATGGGCCCCTATACCGCCTCCTCATGCTGCTGCCAAGTCCAGAGTCTCTCATGGGTCCCTGTACGGCCTCCCATTGCTGCTGTCTCCATCGCCACACTCTGCCATGTGCCACTTTCAGGTCTCCTCACACACTGCTGGGTGTGTTCAATTTTTTGACATAGGATGCTGGCAGATTACGGGCCTCCCATAGCTGCTGCCAGGCCCCTAATCTGCCATGGGCCCCTATACCGCCTCCTCATGCTGCTGCCAAGTCCAGAGTCTCTCATGGGTCCCTGTACGGCCTCCCATTGCTGCTGTCTCCATTGCCACACTCTGCCATGTGCCACTTTCAGGTCTCCTCACACACTGCTGGTGTGTTCAATTTTTGACATAGGGTGCTGGCAGATTACGGGCCTCCCATAGCTGCTGCCAGGCCCCTAATCTGCCATGGGCCCCTATACCGCCTCCTCATGCTGCTGCGAAGTCCAGAGTCTCTCATGGGTCCCTGTAACGGCCTCCCATTGCTGCTGTCTCCATCGCCACACTCTGCCATGTGCCACTTTCAGGTCTCCTCACACACTGCTGGTGTGTTCAATTTTTTGACATAGGGTGCTGGCAGATTACGGGCCTCCCATAGCTGCTGCCAGGCCCCTAATCTGCCATGGGCCCCTGTACCGCCTCCTCATGCTGCTGCCAGGTCCACAGTGTCTCATGCCATGTGCCACTTTCAGGTCTCCTCACACTGCTGGTGGTTTCCATTTTTGTCATAGGGTGCTGTATAGGCCTCCCATTGCTGCTGCCTCCACCGCCACACTGTGGCTCCACACTCTGGTTTTGGCCCCGTGACTGCCCAAATGAGTGAAGTGTGCGGTGATTCTAAGATCGACGGCACTCATCTGCATGTCATACTGACTGTCAGTATTATTTCTCTTCCCAGCAGACTCCAAGGGCATTTAAATTAAAGGTACAGTGTTCTGCACTAATATAAAGGCTCTCTGAAGCCTAGAAACACCCTTTTATAAGTTAAATTCGCAGCGAATATATTCGACTCGAATCGAAATTTTTCCACGAATTCGCCGAATCAGTCGAATCGAATTTTTGAATACTTCGCTCATCTCTATTTATGATAGAAGCGCATCTGCTTGCAGTTTGGGCCGTAGACGTGCACTAAGGTGTAGGTTATGTCATTAAGCTGGCATACAAGTATGTGGTAGCGCCCTTGTGGATCGGCTGTTTGCGAAATGATGCGGCATGAGACAGAGTCATTAATGGCAGTAAGAACTCCATTCTTCTTTTGGATGTTGGTTGCCAAAAATATTTGGGTGAAGCGGTGAAGAAATAATTTGGGAGTTTTCCCCGTAGCGAAGTGGGATTCTTGTATGAAGAGTATGAGTATGTCGGCTTGGGATTTCCGGGCTTCTTTGGCTAGCATCGATCTCTTGAAAGGCGAGTTTAGGCCTCGTACGTTGAGAGATGTGATATTAATCATTGGTACGTATTTTCTCTGAGTTCACAATTAGTCGGAGCGTTATTTGAAGGGATCGTAGGTTAACAGATATTTCTATGAGAGAGAGTGCGGTGAGTCTATTGTAGATTGAGTTAGGCTCGATTGGAGAGATAGGATGAGCTTTCCAGACATGTGCGGGGTATTCATAGCTGGGGTTATAGCTGCGTGTCTGATGGTGCCTCAACTGGGGGAAGGTAAGGATACAAAGAACAGTAAAAAAAAACACTTGCAATAAATGCAAGTAGACCAAGTAGTATCCATTGCTACTTGGGAACTGGGGGGTGAGAACAGGCTTTGACCACCGAAGGGGTCATGCCAATTAGAAAAATGTTGAACAGGTAACATCGAGTTTTGGCCGATCGCCAGAAAATGGTATGTTGAAAAAAAAGGCCTCTAGGGAGAAGAGTACGTTTGTTTAAGGAGAAAGTGTGCCACTTCCTGGTTATGATGCCTCCATATGTTGAATGGAGGCAGATGCAGTTCCCTGTGGATCCGCAGGAAGGATATTCCAGGCTTTAAGTAGGTCCAGACCTGCTTCCAGGGTTTTTACCGTAAAAATTCTGCCAAGGTGCCGTAATGTGAGCTTTGTGGGGAAACCCCATTGGTATGATATACCGTGGTTTCTCAGAGCTTTAGTTATGGAAATCATTTTTTTCCTATTAAGGAGTGTGGCTTTAGATAAATCGCGTATAGTCGGAGATTAGCATGTGATGGCGGGACCGGGGCGGATTCCTGGCAGCCATCATGATTCTTTCTTTAACATGGTAGAAATGTATAACGGGCTAATACATCTCTTGGAATAGATGCTGACAAAAATGTCGGTTTTGGCAATCGGTGAGCACGATCAATTGCTAGCTCCAGGTCAGGAACTGATGGGATAAGGAATTTGATATATTGCTGTAAGTAGGGTAATAGTGTCTCATTAGTGACTGATTCGGGGATTCCTCTAAATTTAATGTTGTTGCGTCTTGATCGATCTTCCAGGTCAGCCAATTTTAGGTTAATTTGTTCGATGTCAGATGAATGGTCAGCGTGAGCATCAATCAAATCATTGTGTGCTATTATTACGTCACCCATGTTACTTTCAATATGGCGAATTCTGCTTTCCTGTCGCTGTACCGCAGCAGTAATTTGACTCAGCGATGTGGAGAAATCATTATATAATGTTTGGCGTAGTGATGTCAGCATACCCTTCATAGAGATTTCCGTCAGCGGTATATCTGACACTGGGAACGAATCGATGTCGGGCAATACTGTGTGGGATGGCATAGGCGGAAGGTTTAGGGCCTGAAGTGAGGGTTCAAAGTCATGGTCTAGTCGTGGCCGAGACTTGGCTGGGCTACTAGTGTGGGGGACAGTGGGGTGACAACTCACCAGGGTCCCCTGGATAAAGCGAGTGTCGCAGCCTGGCATCCGTTTGCTGGTCATTGTAGTCCCCCTCAGGCCTCCTGCTGCCTCCCTGGACGCTGCCGCCGGCGCCATCTTGGATTCCATGACGGCCGGGAAGAAATTAGTAAGTTTACCCGGCTGTTCAGGGGTTTTCTGTCGGCGGGGCATGCCTGGAGAGGTGCGGGCACGCTTCAGGAATGACACTGTGGGGTTGTTGTCTCCCTGGGCCGGTGTGTGCGGGTTAGTGCTGGCGGGTGGACGGAGCTCTCAGATCAGAGCGTCCATCAAAGCCGGCCGCGCATGCGCCCTCGTAACACAAGGTTTTAAATACCAATAAGAGGGTATTTGGATGGGGTGGGCAACGATCGTCAGGATGATCTTTGTTTTGTCGAGGTGTGGTTGGTGCATTGGCACTTTGGTTGTGCTTTTCGTGGACTACGCTGTTCTCGCGGCCAGGGTCTCTTGGTGAATACTGTGGTTGTGGAGGACCCATGACCTCGGAAAGATTGTTTTGAAAGTACTGAAGGGCTTCCTCTGGTGTGTGAATGATTTAGGTTCCCTGCAGGCGTATTGAAGCGAAGTGTAGCAGGTATGCTAGAGTGAATTTGACTCCTTTTGAAATAGAGTAGCACACAATTTGTTGAATGCTTTCTTTTGCGGGAGACTTCTTGCGAGTAGTCGGCGAATACAAACAGCTTATGACCATCTAGCTGCAGGGACTGTGAGTTGCGAAACGAATTGAGTATAGCTACCCGGTCCGCGTAATTAAGATATATGACGATTGTTGAGCACGGTGTGTGTCTGTCATTTGAGGGCACGCCTAAGCGATGAGCCCTTTCGACCTGGCAAGGTGTCGTGATGCCCAATGCCGCAGGAATGCGTTTAGAGCAGATATCAGATAATAAACATGAGTTGTAGGATTCAGGGAGGCCTACAATGTGCAAGTTGTTCCTACGTGAGCGGTTTTCTAGATCATCTAGCTTATCCAATATATTCAATCCAATATATTCTGTTGCTCACGCTTGCATTGTGTAGCTCCCGCTTGCATAGCTTGAAACTCATCCGCTAGGTCAGAGAGGCGATGTTCAACTTCGGTTATGCGTTTGGCGTTTTCTCCCAGGTCACTTCTGAGCTGTTCTATGCCCTGTGTTACTGCTCTGTCTACTGCCTGAGTAATGATGGGTAGCAACAGAGTAGCAACAGCCTGTGCAATCTTTTCATACTGGTCCGTGGGACTACTATTATCAACATGCCCTGCTGAAAGAGTGTGGTGGGTGGCTGTGCCTCTCTCCTACCTGTTCCTGGGTCTGGCTCTGTGTCCATGTTGCCCGTCCTGTGGGTTAAGCTGCTGCTGCTGTGATTTGATTTTTTGCTGCTGCCAGCAGCGTGGTCGGTGGCCATCTTGGCTGCAGTAGGGGGAGACCTGTCCCTCAGGACTCGTGGAGCGGGATCGGGGGCTGGCTGCCGCTGGCTGTATGTACTGATCCATACGGGATCGGGTAAGGTATGGTCAGGGGGGCACTCCCGTGTCACTTAGTTATGTCCTCCGGTGCAGGAGGCTGTATTTTTATGCCCTGTAGTCCGGAGCCCGCGTGATGCCGTCCCTGTCACATGGGGCGCCGGAACCGGAAGTGCAGAATTGATTTTAAAGATTGGCATCTCCCCACCCCACATAGTTTAGTGGGGTTTGGATTTTAGTTAACAATATTTGATCACTAAGTGGCAAGTATTTAATTGCATTTTTTAAATGATCTTCTTGAAGAACCAGTGTAATACTGATGAGAAAACCTTTTATGTGCCCAAAACCAGGTATCTGAACACATTATATCCTCCACAGATTGGCTATCCCATACATTTGCTATGTATGCTGATCTGGCATTTTACAGGGGCAGGAAGCACTATTTTTTTGTATGTCTTTAAAAAGGACAAACAAAATTGCAGCTGATCAGGCAAGAAAAGCCATCAGTAAAACAACAAAAATCCACCGATAATTTGTACCATGACAATGTTGCGTTTACCCTTTTTTTTGGCAAAACACGTGTTTCTATTTTATTTTTTTTTTCAA